CAAATTTGTCTCTTACATTAATGTCATATAGCGCACAACTTATCCATCGATTCCTTAACATATGGTTTATCCAGTCCTTGAGGGCCCTGTCAACCTGGAAATTGCCTAAGGATTTAATGGGTGTATCAATACATGCCAGTGTATACATCTTTTTATCAAAGGTGCTCTCGATGTGGTGTACAACCTCGAGTAATGCGTTTTCCACTGAATGTCCCTTAACGTATGCATGTTGTTTATATTCCAGCATATCGTTTCCGATCTTGCCCTTAATCATGGTACCGATTGTGCGTTCCATGGATCTGAGAAAGAACGATATTGGAATTATCGGGCGATACCTAAGTCTTAGGTATTGAGTAACTTGCCTTTCCAGGTTTGGACAGGCCAGGCTTTTGGAGTATACTCAAATTTTAGCCATGCATTTAAAATTCCGACTATGTTGGATAAGATGTAGTCCACTTCCTTTCGGAGCAGAGCCGGGAAGACCTTATCTGGTCCTGCTGCCTTCGATGGCATCCTTTACTATCGATTCATAAAATGTTGGTGCTTCATCAGTCATATTTCCTCTATCTTCCGCGTTTAGTGATGATCGGTGGGAGGTGTGTGTTTGTCAAAAGCCATAGGGTGTATTCTACTGTTTCCATCTTATTACCCATATCATCCACCATTGTGTCGGCTTGTGGGTTTTAGAAAGAAACTTTTTATACCCTACACCACAAAATGGTCAGGGTATTATGTCTTTGTGCATTTGTTTGTAACAGGCAAAAGGAAACGATATAGACCCATGGTTCCTTTTGACGATCTGCATAGAATCACATTCTGAGTCGATTTATCCAGATGAAAATTTGCACAGATCATTTGCTTGGCCCAAGGACGAACCCTATAGAGATTGTAGATAATCGGTCAAAATTTAGATAAAGCTCCCATATATATCTTCGTCCGATTTGCCTTTTATTGTGCACCAAACGTGTAATATCAGCCCGAATAGTATGGAATTTTGCGTATACACCCAAAGTAGGCCTAAAAATAAGTAGGCCAAATTTGATCGAAATCGGTTCAGATATAGCTATAGCTCCCATATATATATTGTTCATCCGATTTGTTATTTTTTCCTCCGCAGCCTTAATATGCACTCTGCAACAACAATATTTGGATCTGTTCAGATTTAAAAAAAACTCCCATATATAACTTCGTCCGATTTGCCTTTTATTGTGCACCAAACGTCTAATATTTGTCTAAATGGGATGGAATTTGGCACTTAACCCCGAATTAAGTCTAGAAGCTAGTGTCAAATTTGGTGAAGATCGGTTCATATATAGCTATAGCTTCTATATATATTGTTCATCCAATTTGTTATATTTGTTACCCACAACCGTAATATGCGCTCCGTAACAACGATATTCAAAGAAAAATTTATCAAATACAGCTCAGATATATCTTTGCCAAATTGTATTGAGATCGGTTCAGATTTGGATATAGCTCCCATATATATTTTTATCCGATTTTAAATTATTTGTACACCAAATGGACAACACATGTCCGAATTTAAAAGATACAAATGCTTCGGCATATTTAGTCCTTTGAACTTTAAATTATAATTATAATCATAGCGTGTATGATTGATTCTCAAATAAAAACTTTTAATTTTTATGTGGAGCTCTACTAAATTAGAAAAGTGGTGTAGGGTATAATAAAGTCGGCCCCGCTAGACTTTAAGACTTTCTTTACTGGTTTAATTTTTGATACATCATTTAAGTTATGAACCTGTTCGCAGAAAAGCTTCCAGATGTTTGGTTTTGCTATTCTTAATATTTTGTTGTATTATTTAAGTTTATAATGGATAGCCATCCGAGGATACTTCAATCTCTATTGTAATGCCTTCAGACCTCTTTTCTTTTTTACGAATTTCCCCTGTCTCCCAGGGGTTTTCGTAGGCAGATTCCAGAATTCTGCAGGGACAGATTTCTTCGAATGACTTTACTAAATTCTGCGTTCAACTACTGACATCCCTGTCTATTTCATCTATGCTTAGGCATTCAATGCTTTCCTGCTCAAGCCTTTTTTTTACTTATCTCCTGTTGTAATATAACCTACATATTAAAGAATGGTTTAGTTTGGGTATTAAATTGTTCCTTATTATGTCATCGATTTTTAAATAATTATTTATTTTTAATTTATTTATTTATTTAAAGAAATTTTTTAGTTTTATTTTTTATGAGTTATCAAATTCATATCCACAATCACAAACCCTGATTGCATGTGTACAATTTTTCAATGGCATGAATTCGATTTTATTGATTTCAGATATTGTTTCGAAGTGAAGGCTATCAATGATGTTTAATTTTCTGTGAATTTGACAGAAATTTTAAATGGCTGAAACTTGAATCCAATTCAGAGTTTTCTTTTTTTCTTCCTTGATTCAGCATTTATTCGGGATCATCATAAAATTTAAGTATAACTTCACTTCAATATTATGGAAGTGTTAAATATCCTGTTATTTGATTTAATGTTAGCTTTTGTGATTTAAGAATCTGCTCCCACGACATACATGGTCTTATTTGTAACTGAAACATCTAGGATTACATACATTTCCTTATTTCACAAAAAAAAAGAATATTCGCTGCACATAACCATATTTTTTAATTATCCTGAGGACAAAAAAAAAAACTCACAGTTATTGATATTTCCGCAACACGATAACACACTCAAATCCTTTTTGTAGCTCGCCACCACCGCCACCGGCATTCAACGTTCTTTGTTGCACACCAAAAATTAAAAATTGATTTCAGTCGTTTTGTGTTTTTCATCAGCACCCAATAACACACAACTTCAGCTAATAAAAAAATAATGAAACAAAAAAAGCGGCACAAAACTCAACAAAAACATGCCAATATCCGATATACAATCAAAAAATTGGAACATACGAACAGATTTAATTTACATTCAATCCCAGAAATTATCTCTGTGTCATTCTTTGGTTTATTCCTGTCGGAATGAATGTGACGCAGAACAAAAAAAAAAAACGAGGAAAAAAGTTTTTTTTTGTTTTGGTGAAAATGGGTACGCAAAATGTGGCATTGTCGAAGATGGCAACAGCAGCCAATATTGGAATTGTTTTTTTTTTTTTTTTTGTGTGTTTCGATGAGTGTGTGAAAATTACATATAGGTGTACCTGCATGTGTTCGCCACATATGTATATGATATATATATATACATAGGTTTGTCACATATTCCTGTATTTATGTGTCAATTGTTGGCATTGTTCAATACCCTACCCAACACCCTGGGAAAACGGGAAAACTCGTAAAAGACATTCTCAGCTCGGGGAGGGCTTCAAAAATTATCCAAAAATCAACGAATACTGTCCCCTTCCAAAAAAATATTTACTAAGAGGCCTTCACAAGGCTCTAATAGTCATTCAAATAGTAACTTAGAGAGAAATAATCGAACGATTTAGATAGTTCCTACAACTATGCATTACAAGACATTAGCAAGCCCCTAAGAGCCCTTCAAAAATTATTTATGCCCTCCACCATAATATGGAGGGTATATTAAGTTTGTCATTTCAGTTGTAACACATTTTAGGCCCCACAAATGTCGATTAAGTGATCCGTCCGTCCCTTTCCCTGTCAATCCGTCTGTTCGTTTGTGGAAATCACTCTAGCTTCCAAAAGAAATGAAGTAGGTTGGTAAAATTTTATTCAGATGTGTGCTTGTTCTGCAGGACTTTTGGTATTGAAAATGACGTATATTGGTCCACGTTTTGGTATAGCTCCATATAACTCTACCGACCCATTTAAGTTTTTTTTTTTTTGGCTGCTTCCAAATTTGCTGTAAATTGGCTGCATACGTTCCAATTATGTAGGAAAGATCCTTGCATAGAACTGTCAAAGTAGGTCTTGATACATATTTTAGAACACCCTGTATCACTCTCTCCCTCTCTTCTTTGTTATTCAATTGTTGTTATTATTATATCCCGTTTGTTGAAGTATGTCATTCAATAAAGCTAATCTAATTATTTAGTCTGCTTTTAAATCTTGTGCGTTTCACTTGGTTCATACATATCATTTTGGCGACGAGGCAAAAGTGAAAAAAAAAAAAAAACAGTGGTAATGGATGACAAACCAGTGGCAATAATTGGAAGCATTGAGCCTTTCAGTATTGGTGAAGACTTCAATTTGTATGCCAATCGATTAAAGCACCTGTTGTTATTAAATAAAATTAAAAACGATCCAGACAAGAAATCGTTTTTGATAAGCCTAGGTGGTCCTGAGCTGTATAAAACTTTATGTTCACTTCTATCACCGCAAACCGAAGACAATTTCACATTTGAGAACATTATTGAAAAACTTACAGCTCATTTCAAGCCGAAGAAGAATATCATTGTTGAGTGCTTTAAATTTTTTAAAAGAGACCAGCATCCATCTGAGACCATATCTGACTACATTGTAGAATTGAAACAATTATCCCAAAGCTGTGATTTTGGAACATTTCTTGATAAAGCGCTATTGATCAAATTTGTCTGCGGGTTAAATAATGATGTCATCCAAAATCGATTATTAAATGATACTTCAATCAATTCGTTTGAGAAAGCATGTGACCTTGCCCTGACATTGGACATGACACAGAACCAAGTAGACTTGTTAAGAAATCACTCAGTACATGTACTGCAAAACAACTCATTTAGAAGTCGTGATCAGCAACAAAGAAATGGAAATGAAGGGGCGGGTAATGAAGTAGGCAGGCAGAGCAAAAGAGAACGCAAAACTTCTATTATTGAGTGTTATTATTGTCACAAAAGAGGTCACATCGAGAGAAATTGCTGGATAAAGAGGAATGATGAGATTCGGAACAAAAGGAGACCCAAAAGAGAGCGAAGAGGTAATAATAAGAATGCCGTAAACAATATTGATGATTATACGAGCGATAGTGAGAGTGATTATTTAAATAATTTATACAATTTTCTTGCATGCAATTATAATAAGAGATTATTAGTTAAAATTATGATTGACAAGTTTGAAATAGAAATGGAAATTGATACAGGAGCTTGTGTCTCTGTCATTCATATAGATGATTACAATAAGTATTTGAGGCATATTGAAATGCAAAAGGATACCAAATGTCTTAAGGTTGTGACCGGTGACCGTGTTAAAGTTGTTGGTGCAATTTTAGTAAATGTGGAAATTAATTGTAACTCGTGGAAACTTAAATTGTATGTGCTTGACGGCGATCAAACTTTCACGCCTTTGCTGGGCAGAAACTGGTTGGATGTTTGTGCTCCGAATTGGAGAAATATAGTTGGCGAATTAAAATGTTTAAATTCATTAGACAAATTCAATTTCGAAAAGTATTCACAACTATTTTCGAAATCAAATAATTCAACCATTAGGGACTACACAGCTGAAATCTACCTCACCGATGAAGCTTATCCAATATTTTCCAAACCGTATCCAGTGCCATATGGTCTAAGGAAAAAGGTAGAAGATGAATTGGAGAAAATGTGCAAGGAAGGTGTATTAGTGCCCGTTAGCAGAAGTAGGTGGGCAAGTCCTATTGTAATAGCAAATAAGGGTGACGGATCAATAAGAATTTGTGTAGATTGCCGTCGAACTGTAAATCGTTTTGTAGAAATGGAGCATTATGTTATTCCCAGAGTAGATGATATACTTGCCAGTTTGTCTGGGTGGAATATTTTTTGTAAGCTTGATTTAACGGGAGCGTATCTTCAGGTAGGAGTAACTGAAAGGTCCAGAGAAATTCTGACGATTAATACACACCGAGGGCTGTATCAATACACCCGTTTAATATATGGGTTAAAAACAGCACCTCAGTTGTTTTCAAATATTATGTATGAAATTTTGAAGGGGTTAGATAAAACTTTAGTTTATTTTGATGATATCTTGGTCGGAGGATCAGATGTAAGAGAATGTGAAGTTAATTTGAAAAATGTACTGGATAGATTATTGCAATTTAATGTCAAGGTAAATTTTGAAAAATGTAAATTCTTCGAGGAAGAAATAGATTATTTGGGTTATACTATTAATTCTAAAGGCATCTCTCCTTCAAAATCAAAAATTCAGGCAGTAATAACGCGCCAACTCCAACAAATAAAAGTCAATTAAAGTCATACCTCGGTATGATAAATTATTATAACCATTGCATTCCAAATTTATCTTCAGAGTTGCGCTTACTACACGATTTAACAAAAAAATGATATTAAGTGGAAATGGTTGGACAAACATCAAATTATATTTGAAAAGAGCAAACACTTTCTTACAGATATTAATGTGTTAACTCATTATGACCCTAACAAACCAATTATAATTTCATGTGACGCAAGTCCCTATGGCGTAGGAGCGGTACTATCGCATGTAATCGAGGGCAAAGAACAACCAGTAATGTTTGCTAGCAGTACCTTAAAACCAGCTGAGCGTAATTACTCACAATTACATAAAGAAGCTCTCGCAATTGTATTTGCAATTCGCAAATTTCATAAATATATCTATGGTTTGCCATTTACGATTGAGAGCGACCATCAGCCATTAAGGGAAATATTCTCCGACAAAAAGAATTTGCCATCTGTAACGTCCAGTAGATTGCAAAGATGGGCAATATTTCTTTCTTCTTATAATTATATCATTCGCTATAAAAAGGGTTCAAAAATGTGTCATGCAGACGCGCTATCAAGGTTGCCTCTAGCTGAAGAAATTGAAGGGGAAGAGGATAGTATTAATATATTCAATATTTTGGATGATATACCAATAAATATGGACGATGTTCGCAAAGAATTAAAAAGGGACAACGAGCTTAGTCGGATTTATCAATTTGTAATGTATGGGTGGCCCGCAAATCTGAATGCAGATCTTATGAAATATTATGATAAAAGAACGGCATTAGGAACAGAAAACGAATGTTTGTACTATGGAGATCGTATAGTAATACCAAAAACTTTACAATGCAAAGTTCTTGAGCTATTGCACGATAGTCACATTGGTATAGTTAGAATGAAAGGTTTGGCTAGAACATATTTCTGGTGGGTAGGAATGGATAAAGATGTTGAAGAGTATGTAAAAACATGCTCTACATGTTGTAAAACACAGAATGTCTCAAAACAAATTACAACATCATGGCCTACTGTTACTTACCCTTTTGAACGAATTCATTTAGATTTCTGTAAAATTGAAAATGTTACTATTTTAGTAATAGTAGATACTTTTTCAAAATGGATAGATGCCAAAATAATGAAAACAACAAACGCTAGCGCGTTTATAGACATTTTACGTGGGTTCTTTGCAACATTTGGTTTACCTCGACAAGTAGTGAGCGATAATGGACCTCCATTTGGGTCAAGGGAATATATATCTTTTTGCGAAAACTCCGGAATTGAATGTTTAAAGTCGCCCGCATACCATCCCCAAAGCAATGGAAGCGCCGAGAGAGCCGTACAAACTGTTAAGACTGGTTTAAAGAAATACTTGATAGATCCAAAATACCTACATAAATCATGGGACTACAAAATAAATAATTTCTTGTTGAAATACAGGACAACACCAACAACAGTGACCGGTATTGCACCTGCAGTTGCCATATTTCGGTTTAAACCTAAAACATTGCTAGACCATGTAAACCCAAAAACTAACAACAATTTAGAACACAAAAATGTAAATATTGTAATAAAACAGAATGTTCAAAAAGAGATAAAGTCTAAAATACCGGAATATACAGTTAATGAAGTTGTAATGTACAGAAATGTACATAATAATTATCATAAGTGGATACTTGCAAAAATCGTAAAACAATTAAGTACAATAAGATATTGTATTAGCATCAATGGCCAGCGAAGAGTGGCACATATTAATCAATTGAAAAAGTTTTGTGGGAGAGCAAGACCATATTATTCAAATATAACATATCGAAGAGATAATAATAGAAAAAGACAAAGAAGTATTGATATACCAAGTGAAGTAGAATTAAGACGCTCAGAAAGAATTAAAAAGAAAAGAGAAGAAAATGAAAGAGATGATGATAGTTTATAAATGAATGATAAATTGCATGAGGAGAGTTTAATGCATTTTTGTTTTTGTCAATATTTAAGAGCGTGGATGAAAATTAAAGTTGCATGTTTATTTTGTTATTATATTTAGTCATACATTGTATAATTTGTAAATTATAAAAAAAAAAAAAAAATAAATTATATAATTTGTAATTATTTGTAATTATATATTATATCATAATACTGATATTGAAAATTATTATAAGATTTATTTTGAAATTATATCCCCTTATTATATTGGGGAGGGAATGATACATATTTTAGAACACCCTGTATCACTCTCTCCCTCTCTTCTTTGTTATTCAATTGTTGTTATTATTATATCCCGTTTGTTGAAGTATGTCATTCAATAAAGCTAATCTAATTATTTAGTCTGCTTTTAAATCTTGTGCGTTTCACTTGGTTCATACATATCAGGTCTATGTCTTGATATAGTACCCAAATAACTGTACCTCCAAATATTCGTTATTTTGATAATTTGTGTCCCACTTTTCACCGAGTATGTTTTAAATTTGCAATTTGAAGTTCTTCGTATACCCTTCATATTTATAAGGATACCTCTCTATTTTTATGATTTTAGCGACGTATTGGGTACTACAGCCCATTGCAGAAAATTGTGTATGCAGAACCATGTCTTCGTAGGCTCCAATATAACGATAACTCCCTGTGACTCCTCTAGCCTTTCCAAAATATTTATTTATTTATTAATTTATTTTTTCTTAAGGGGCAGTATTTTGAAATTATTCTTAAAAAAATGCATGAAAAAAGCTTTTAAAACCCACTGAAACTTATCTCTAATACAACTTCAAAAATTCTTCTTAGTCCACGGTTTCTGCCACAAAAGTCCTTCCAAAGAATATTTATAAGAGCCCTTCACAACACATTAGCGAAAGTCCACAAAAATACTAATAGTGTGCCGAAAATATGCTTTTAAAAATACCATAGTCCATAAAAATGGTGTAAATAACTGATATTGGCCATTTGGTAGACAAAAACCATAAAATCGGATAAAGATATATATGAGAGCTATATCCAAATCTGAACCGAACTTGATAATATTTAAAACACTTATTTCAGAGCCGTATCTGATATTTAGTACCAAATAATATTGTTGTGGAGTGCATATTACGCACGTGGGGGACTTAAAACCCCATGTATATGGAGCTATAGCTATATCTGAACCGATTTTCACCAAATTTGAAGTTCTTGTTTCTAGGATGAATTCTGTCGGAATTTCCGAAATTTAGTTCATTTGGGCTCATATCAGCCATTTGGTGCACAATAAACCCGAAATCGGACGAAACGTATATGGGAGCCATATCTAACATTTAAACCGATTCTAACCAATTTCAATAGAGTTCGTCTTGGACCAAACAAACATTGTTTGGCAAAATTCATCTTAATCGGAATATTAATGCGACTTGCATTTTGTTCACTAAAATAGATGGACGGACCGATGGACATGCATAAATCGAATCAGAAAGTGATTCCATGAATATCCTCAAAAGTAGTTATGGGTCTATCTTGCTTCCTTTTCCATGTTGCACACAAATGCACAAATACATAATACCCTTACCTCTATGTGGTGTAGGGTATAAAAATAAAAATGTGATGAAAGATATGGGAATATGCCTGTAAAATGATGCTTAAAAAATCCAGAATAGTTCTTTGAAAAGGTGTTTTTGATATTCGAACGAACAATCCGCTGAAAACATCCTTTTAAAATCCACAAATATTTCTTTGGTTTATTTTTCTTAAAAATAACAATAAATAGTCCCTTAAAAATATGCGTGAAAAACCAACAACTGGAAATAGTTTATGCTTTAAAGAAGCATTTTAAAATATGCCTCACAAAACAGTTATAAGTTTTTTAAATGTCCTTAAAAAATCTAAGAATTGTAATTAGAAAAATACATTAAATATCCCACGAAAAGTATTTTAAAGTATTTTTTATATTATTCTTTAAAATATCCATAATTAGTTGGCTAATGGTTCTCTTAAATTATGCTTTAAAGAATAAACGAATAGTCCTTTAAAACTATGCTTTAGAAAACAACGATAAATTCTCTTGAAAATACCCTTCAAACTTCCAGGAATCCTTTCAAAATATTTAAAAAACCCACAAAAGTCCTTTAAAATTAAAAATCCAAGAATTGTCCTCCAAAATTGTATATTCTATAATATTTCGCGAATATTTCTATAAAATTGTGAAATATAATGTGAAATATATTATTTGGAAAATTCACAAATAGTTGCCAAATGACCCATTAAAAATGTGCTTAAACCCCTTGATTGGTCCTTGAAAATTTACTTTGAAAAACACAAAAATACGCTTTAAAAATACAAGTTATAAAATTTTTGCTATAAAAATTTTTTGCACAGTCCTTTGAAATTATGCTTTAAAAAATCACTAATAGTTCTTTGAAAATTTGCCTTATGGTATCCGCGAAGAATCCTTTGAAATTGTTTTATTTTTATTTAT